AATATATTAGTTTTTATTGATTCTGAGACATGAATGTTAATGACTCTAGATAAAAATTTGACACCATGAAAACTGCAGTACGTTCAGTTTTTCAAATAAATATATAAATAAATATATGAATACATTAATGTGTGTATTAATAATATGTACATAAATAATATATAATATATAAACAATAATATAATAGTATATAAATAATTTTAGTATAGTGTACTTATATATTTTGTATTAAAACCTTGAGTCTATATCTCATTGCAGATTGATCAGGCGATCGAAGAATATTATAAAACACTTACCGCTTCCGAACTGGGCACGGCGAAATCCGCGTCAGCTTTCCTCAAGCTTTTACCTCTAGTCAGGAACGCCTCGCCCGAGGAGCTACACAAGATCTTAAAGACACCGCGCAATCAACGGATAAAGATGCAGCTGCTGGATATATTTGGCGCTGCTTCTACCTTATCCGCTCATCAAGCTGCCATGAAGATACTCCGGCAGGATGAGACTGGCGACGAAACTGAGAGGTATCTGTGGGCACTATCTCTCTCGCCGACACCTCATGTCGATGTTGCCAGAGATATTCTACGACGTTCCGAGGAGACGATGCAAAACGATAAAGTGTCCGAGACTTATGCACTTGCGGCGGGCGCGATGGCACGACATTATGGGTCCGCCGCGGTGATAGAGAAGGCGCGAGTCAGCCTGGAACTAGGCTTGGAGACCTGCACTGGCGAGGAGTGCAAGCTTAAGTTCTTGCGAGCTCTGCGAAACCTGAGGTGTCCGGCGGCGATACCCACGTTGCTGGTATACGCATTAAGCGATAGCAAAATCATCAGCACCGCCGCTTGGCGCGCTTTGAAGGTCCTTCCACGTGAAGCTGTGACCGACGAGTTGAAGAGCGTGGCACATAGGGTTTTCTATCAGATCGGAGGGCCGCGAAGAGACAGCAGCGTGCGAACGATCGCGTTAGACGTTATCCTAGAGAACGAACCTTCCGAAGAGATTCTACGCGATTTCGTGAAATATTTGAGCAGCAAAGATCCAGCCTACGAAGTTCGCAAATACCTGAGTCAACGTCTGGAGTTACTCGCCGAGAGGGACGCGCGATTCGCCGAATACCTAAGAAATATATATGTCAATGGCAACATGACGCTCAACAATTACCACATGCAAGCGCAGCGGGGTCTTAGCACCGCTTTCGCGAGGTACTTCCTGCGCTCACCCGACAGTAATGGTTCATTGGTTACCGTTCAGGAAGTGAATTCCGGTCTTCTGAAGCGCGGCATCGTGGATGTCGTATTGGAGAGCAATGAACAACGGCAAGCGATGTTCTCGCTGGGGCTATTCGCTGGCGGTCTTGGCAGTTTCGTATCGAATCAAGATGAAATGACGGAAGGTGACGACCTCGAGGTGGCCACTGCTGGAATGGAGATCGATATTCTTGATGTCGGGATACGACCGTTCGTCTTTTTCACCGGGCAAGGCGAACTGATGGGCCACGTCTGGTCGGGCACTGCGGACACAAGGACTCCCGCCTTTCAAGCTCTTGCTTCACTGTACAGTCATAATGATTATGTGCCATTGGGATCCGGTTTCGTCGCTGAACTCGACGTTCAAGGTGCCGTGAGCTTTGAGCTGGCCGGTGAGATCCAGCTTAGTCTATGGTCGAGAAATGCACGCTCCCTGGTGGAGATGAACGCCGGCGTGACGATCCACGGCGGCACCAGGGTGCACACGAACTTTGTGCAGAGCAAAGCAGAATTCACGATGGCGATGGAGCCGAAGCTCCAACTATCTACCACTGTGGATTTCAGTGGACCTTCGGCGTTATGCATGAGACTAAGTCAACCGATTACTGCGGTGAAGTATCAAGTCTACAAAATCGAAAGGATACCCGGCAGCCGGCATAGATTGAGAAAAACACGTCGGATGAAAGTTCATTCACCTGGCAGATCCTATAGGCTCAATCAAAAAAATAATGAAATGTGCGCGAAGTTCGCGAATTTAAGTTAACGCATACCGAAGACTACTCAGTGATTTTTTTTATCGATTACGAAAGGATTAGGAAATTGTTGTTTTTATTATTGTCATTTTAAGAGTGAAATCTATGATAATATGGCAGTATCTATTTTCAAATCGATGGATAATGCTATATTTCAACCTTGATGTGACAATTCATTCATGACTCAAATTTATTTTAGATTAATATTGTTTTAGCATTTTAGACAAAGAAGATAAGATCCAAAATTTAAATCTTAAAATTTTCTTTATATTCTTATTTAATTATTCTAAAAATTAATTGCAATTCCAATTGGCTGATTTTGTATATAAAAACAGTTAAAAGGTTTTTCACAAAAACAAGTCTCCAAAAATTTTAAATTCTCAGGAAATAAAAATTTCTTTATCTCCAAATTGTTCTTGAAAATATAATAATTTTTCTCCGGATGTATAATAGATATAAAATGAAATTTAGACTCTCTGGTGGAAGAATTTTATTGAAATTTTAATAGAATGGCTGCAAATTTGCTAAAATTTTGCTGAGATTTCACAAAAAGTTTTTTATTCAATAAAAAGTCATTTTCTCTGCTAAATTGATGAAATTTGTCTAAAAAGTTATTATAATTGTTTCAAAAAATTTTCTGAAAAATTTGTTGAAATTTTTTTCTCTAATAATACGTTAAAATTTGCCACAATCAGTACGCTTGAATTCTATTCTTCACAAAATAAAATATAAAGCCCAACATTATGAGATTTTTCCTCTGTATTTTAATAGTAAATAGTTTAGAAGTCATTCTTTACGAAAAAATCAGCGAGTTTCCAAAATTAAATTACAAAATGAAGAAATATATTTTTTTTTTAATATAATTTTGTTTAGAAAAATTGTAAAAATGAATTCAAGGACCCACACTTTACTAAAACCACTGTTTACTAAAAAACCCACTGTTTACTAAAAAAAACATGCAATTTAATTTTCAAATTCAATTAAATTTCACCCGCTGAAAATTGTTTCAAAACGTGGAACAATTTCAGCAAAATTTTTCAGCAAAATTTTTCCACCAAGACATTAATAAATATTTTAAGGACAAATTTTAAAAAATAAAAATCTCTTTGTTTAATTCTTACAAAAATTTTATGTCTACTGCTTATTTATCCTATAATATGTTACAATTTTATCTTTTTTTATAACATATTAATAATGACATGTTGAAGAAGGAAATGTTATTTAAAGTATAATGTAACAACTTTTCATTTTTTATTTACAAAATGCTCTATATTCTTTACAAATGTTAAACATTAAGTTCATTTAAAAAAATTTAGATTATGATGCCAAATTGTTTGATTTCTATTAGTAACATTTAAGGTTGCACGAGATCAAAACAAAACGATATTTGTAAAGATATTGTATTGGTAAAAATATTGAAAAATTTTGAAAATTTTAATCTTGTCTCGATCTTGATCAATATTCGTAGCAAAAATCTCTTGTCTTGTTTCATCTCCAATTGAACAAAACCTCCAGTGTTTTGTTGCGATAATACTTTGATTAACAAGCTCTTTGTAACAAAATAGCTCCTGTACACAAAAGTAGCCACTCTTGCCGCGCGGCGGAAGTTGATCAATGTCTCGCTTGCTCGAAAGTAATAGATATAATTTCCGCGAGACAAAAGTGATAATTATACAGAATAGGTCCCGCAGCTTAAAAATCAATAAAATTAACAATTATATCACTAACAATTTTTTTCTCTTATTTAACAACTTTTTTATGTAACAATTTTTTTCTCTTATTTACAAATATATACATAATTTTTTTAGAAACCAATAATATCAAGACAAGACCAAGAATCTGGACATCTTGTTTTGATATTGCCTTAATAATTTATTAGTAATCTTGTCTTGATCTTGTCAAAAATGAATTTGGACGAATTCGAGGCAAGATAAGACAATATTAAGATTAATCTTGATATCTTGTGCAACCCTAATAGTATTACATTGTGAATAGTTTTATTCCGACAAAACTCAAACAGATAGCAGGAAATATAGTCCGTATTTAGAACGTACTTTTATTGATAAATACTCGATTTCTTTTTTAAAATTTTATAGTATATATAACTATATATATTTAATATGTTAACATCATTATAAGCGCGTTCTGAATAGGCTTTTATATTTCCTGTTTTTTTATTTGAGTCTTGCCGGAGTAAAATGTGACGCTACTCATAGAGAACGACTTAGCGCTATAATATAGATTTTAAAAAATTTGATTTCTGTGGAAAACCTTTCAATTAATCTCTATTTTGTCTCATTTATATTGTACTTCAATTTTACTTCTGATATTATAATAATAATATATGCATTCTTCTCTTCTTCGAAAATCGAATCATCTGGGTTCAAATGTATTTATATTCTGTATTTTGTACACTCGTTTTTACACATCACGTTCTGTTAATAAAAAAGCGAAAGAAACATACTCTTCGTCCTGCAGAGTTCACAACGTCTAATTACAAATAATTCCATTACTTCAAAAGTGATACAAGAAATTACTTTCCACTGACAATTAAGGTCTTTAAAAGTATCGATATTTTGATTGTGAATTTTTGTAGATAAATTTAAATCTGTAAAAAATAAATAAAATATAATCTGACCTCTCTGATGGTAACACATTTTTGACTTTTATACAATCTGGAATAAAATAAAGACTAAAACGTAATTTTTCAAATACCTTTATTGTTGATCGAATTAAAATTCATATTGCTGACGGAGGAAATAAAGTTTCTCAGAAAAAGAAAAAACTATTTTAAATTTTATAGAAAATTATTAACTAATCAAATAACATCAAACAGTAAAAAAAAATATTCCTAATATGATAAATAAAAAGTGATTTTTATTTATCATTTTTTTCATTTTTGTTTCACAATCCATTAAAAAAAAACCATCTTTTGAAGTTATGATGATTTTAATCATTCTTTTTTATTTTTTAAAAGCTCTTTTCAGTTGCGTCTTTTTGATGATTTTTTTAATAAAATTAGTTCATTTTTTATGAGTGATAGAGTAATGCTTATCTAATTCAATATATTCATAATAACTAAAAAATTACATTTTTTGAGTTGTGTTACTTTTGAAGCAAAGGAATGATTTATCAATTAGCGACAACCGCACTCAGAGACGACCATGTCCTCATAGCCGTATTCGTAGGTCAAAGTGCCTCTGGCGTCCAGATAGAGCAGACTTGTAGGCGCCAGTCTGGTGGGTACGCAGCAGGCTCTACTGATAAACTTGTTGCCACGGAGATCTTCGCTAGCCTGGAGTGCGCCGTGCATCAACGTCTGCACTATCGCGTGCTTGGTCGGGCTGAGATGATCACTCAATGGAAAGAAACACTTGCCAGTGCATTGATAAGCTTCGTATCCTGGTGGTGCGACCACCCATTCGTCGTACGCAATCAGGGCGAAGTCCACGTACATGGGACGCCGGCGGCAACTATTCCGACGTCGTCTTCGTGGCAGTTCATCGTCCCAACGATCCTGATCCTCTTGGTCCTCCGCGGATCGCCGATGACGTCGGACACCTCTGATCTTGTTGTAATTCAATAGAAGAATCGGACCATCGCCATAAGGATGATAGGTCAGCCTGCCGTGAACGTAAAGCTTGACTATATCGCCGTTCCTGCCGGCAACAATGGACGTGACATCGAAAGCTCGCCACGCGTTGTCCTTCCTGAGCTTCCGGATCTCTTCACTCCCGTTCTTCATCGTAGATGAAGACAGATCGTTCAACGATCGCACTCTAACTATCGCGCCAGCTATTCCGAGCAATTCTGCAGCCTCCAGCGTCTCGTCAACGCCGGTGGACGGGATCGCGAATTCCAAAATTCTACCGCCGTCGCTGAGCAGACTGGAAGTGTGCACTGGCTGAATCGCGCGGACGACGTCAGCGTCCGGACGCCGATGGTACAGCTGCAGCATGTACTTGGACAGAGTGCCGCGATGTTTTCTGCGTGCGGCGTCGCGTGAGAGTCTCGCGTTAATCTTATCAAAGGGAGGTCGACGTGACGTCGATAATGACGACGATGATGATGATGGAATTGACAGGTCGAAGTGAATTAAAGCCTTTGCGCGCATGCTGGAATTCCATCGACTGATCGATCCCATCTTCCATAAACAGCAGACAAAGAACGCACCCGCGATCAACAACAGCCAAACTCCTGGAGTTCGCATGGCAGATCCTCGATGTATCTTACACGAAGGCAGAAAGGTCACAGATTTGATCAGGGAAATTCCCATAATATAATATTTTTCTTGAACTGGAAATTGTAAAATTCACGCAAAAGTATTATTAAGCATCAAGATCTACTTTATATATGGGTCTCCTTCGCTTATTTGTGTGGAACATTTTTTTAGTCAATTTTTACGTATTATTATATAATATTTTATATTTCTGATATTGCACCTTAGATGATCTCGATATATTTTTCTCTCATCAGACTTGAATAAAATCTCTAAAAATTGTGCTTATAAAGATGGGAATCTATTTTGCTACGCTCGTTCATTCACCTCGTAACTTTTATCTTTTATCATTCTCTTTTAAACAAGTCTTTTACGTGTCTTTTTCTTCAATTAATTTTTAATCCGTGCGTGATTCCCGGAGGATGAATCGATGTCGATGCCGGTCTACTTCGAACTGCGAACGTCATATCCTTCGAAGATGAGAGCTCCGGTTGAAAGACCGCGCTCTCTCCAAATAGCCGCCAATCGAGACGTCCATAGTTACCGCCTGGAATGTTCTTATCAACCGCAGACCACCACTCGACTGAGCAACCTTACATGCCTACCAATGCCTATGGCCTACCCAAATAAAATTTATAAGAAAATATTATTTCTTCAAGAAGAAAAATCAATATAACCTAAATCCGAACTTATTTATGAATTTCTTTATGCTGAAATTATGACTAAAATATTACATGAATCGCGTTTTAACCCTTCATGATCTTTCTAGGTCAAAATGACTCAAGCATCGTCTTTCGCTAAATTCCAATATCTTCCTGCCTTTAGAAGGGTGCTTATCTGTCATCTGTCTACTGAAGATTTGAAGTTTCAATTGCCGATAGAGATGCTTAGCTTTTTAATCGGACTGTTAGTATGTGTCTGTAGCAGCCATTCGCGCAAAAAGCGTTTTTTTCGAAGGTCAAAATATCAGCAAGTGTGACCAATGCGTTATTTTAGTTAAAAAATTTATATTTTTGTATTAAATATTTTTGCAAAAATAAGCAAGACATGGATTGTATCCTTTACGTAAGGATAAAAAAAACAATCAGAAAAGAATGTCCGTCGTGTCTACAATCTATGTATGATAAACACATTCTCTAATCCCTAAATCTGAATTTCTCTAATTCTCTAAATCTGAATCAATAGATAATCTACTGAAGTGACATACGTGGTACTGAATTATCAGTTGTGACCATACTCGTGAACAACGGCACACTTCATTGCGTTCTCTACTACTTTTTCCCACAAACGGGTGTCCTTACTGAATGGCTTACTGAATGAATCGATAATCAAACAAACTTGTCGCTAAATATTCGCACTTTTCACAAGTTCAAGTTGGCCTGAGAGAAACGTGCTCCTTTTTTTAAATGTCGCTTATTTTATCAGACTCACGCGCAATTGCAATTCGCGATGGCAACAGGAATGGTTCGCTACTGGCGGGGAATATATCGGAGGACGAAAGAGACTGTAATAATGACACAGAATTTAGAAAGAATTTAGAAGAAAATAAATAACAAGTGTATTTCGAGATATCTATTCATACAAATAATTTTAATAATTCGAGAATAGTCAGGTTCTGCGATGAAATTAGAATCTAATTATCTAATCCGGCAGCCATATCGGATAAAGACAAGGTCTGAACTCACAAAGAAAGAAGATCACGCGAGAAAGACGAATATTCCAGAATAACCATGCAATATTCGATGATTAAAGCCTTCCGCCGAGATACTTCAAATGAGATCGATTGCGTATATTATCGATCGGATACGGCAGTATTTTCCAATCGCACTCGAACAGCGATTGAACACGGACTCGATCAGACACACAGCGTTAGGACACGAACTCAATTGCACACTGACCCGATTGTGCACAGATCCGATTGCGCACACTCAGTCAAACGCAATAGCGATCGGAAAAACGGGAAAAATATTAATAGATAATGAAAAAATTAGTGTCTATATATCCACACGAAGCGACTTTCATCCTCCCCCCCCCCCTGCAAAGAGGCGCCAACTTCTATAATTGTACTGTTATTGAAACTAGAAAATCTGTCATGTAGACAGTGGGGTGTATAGATTAGTACTTATTGGTTCGGGGCGGCGTCAAACAAAAGCCGCCTCAAACAAAAAAGACATAATATATCCTACTCGCTTGAAGGGTAAGCAAACGAAAATTCCAACGAGGCATTCGTGAGCAAACGATGAGCAAACGAATGCAAAAAGAAAAAAAATCGATTTTTGAATATTGGGAGGCTAATGTGAAGTTGGCCTCTCAAAGTTTAATTTTTGTATATCTTTTGAACTAAGGATGAGCAAACGAAAATTCCAACGGGATATTCGTGAGTAAACGATGAGCAAACGAATGCAAAAAGAAAAAAATCAATTTTTGAATATGGGGAGTCAGCTTCACATGGATGCCAGAAGAAAGGTAGGTGATACCTGAATTCTGAATTTTCGAATTAACGCTCTGCTTGTAATTTGTTGTTGAATTCTTTATAGATATTAAAAAGGGAGTGACTAAAAGCTGAGGAGATGGATCCATTCTCTGTCATAGTACGAGCGAGAGATCCCGTTGTCGATACCATAAGGGAATCTCTGCTGAGAGAAGACAATTCGAATCCAGAAGCGGAGACAATCCGAACAAGCAGCCCATCTATCTTGACGAAAATATAGAACTTTATAAAACATTGACAATTGACGATTTTTTAAGAGTTTATACGTTTTCAAATTTTATAAGAACGCTTATAGAACATTGGATTTTAAATACTTTCAGAACGCTTATAAAATACAGTATCGTTTCATGAAAGTTCTGTAATGCTAAAGTAACGCTTTCCAAAGGATGCTCAGTAAACGCGGATGCGTTTTCGTATAGAGAGTTCACTGTCAGATTTTTGAAACATTTAGCAAAATTTAGCTAATTTTCTCAATACCGTGAGACAAACATTTTTTTCTTCTATTCAACAAACGCTGTTCCAATGTGACGAATTATTGAATCTCAGTAAATGTTTTGTAAAGCTTTTACGCAAAAGGCTTAAAGACGCCCAAAAAATATTTTTCTCAACTCTATAACACAAGCGTTTTTCTTCCGTTTAGCAATCATTCTTTTACATATCAAGTATTTTCAAGTAGTGCACAACATGGCCACTAGAGGGACATAACAAAATTCAATTTCTCGCATTTAAAAAACCACATCAAATAAGATAAAAGGCGTGGTATGATGAAACTTTTCAATAAAAAATTTTGTACCTTTTTTTTTAAATAAAATGTCTGCGTTCAGCAGGCTTAACACTTGAACTGAACGTTCATATAAACGTCAAATAAACGTTTATGAAACTTCTTATTTTCGTCAGAGAATGCCTTCCAAACGTTGCAATGTTGCAATTTCCGCTTTATGAACACTCTAGTGACCGTTTTTAAACTCTCAACTTCCGCAAACTCTCATGTAAACAAACGTTTATGAAACTTCTCATTTTTGTCAGGGTAATTCTAACGACAAGAATGATTTAGAGGAGAACTTTACGAGCAGCCGAAAAGATACCAGCCATAAATCATATATCACGCGCACAAGAATACAAGACGCTATAACTTGCGAGATGGCTCATAACCAATCAGGGCACAAGGCTTATAACAGTTATAACGTACCGAGCCTGTGATCGCCTGCGTGCTCCAAAAGGACTTCGAGCCCAACACTTGTGCTGTGGCGAGTTCTAGAAATGGATGTGCGAGAGAGCACAGGATGTAGGACATTGATGCCGATTCAAGATCGAAGCTTATTGAGAAGCTAAAGAAGAATTTCGTGATGAGATGAGCGTAACGTATTGTAAAGCCGATTTCTAGATCGGATCGCAATTATTATAAAGATCATATCTGCAATTATATCGTTAAGTTTTGTTGAGTCTAATAATTTTGTGAGTAACTATATCGCATTTGTGAATGTACATGGTCGTACTTCCCGCCCGACATCATAATTCCGTTACAATTTCGAATCAATTATTTACAAACCCGTGGTCACAGTCATTTTGTATTGTAATATTGCGATATATCATATTTTTGTATCACGTATGTATAATATCGATATTATGTTAGATTTCAAGTAATATTCTCGTGATGAGTTCAAAGTCGAATTTGTTTACGCGTTAAGCACGGTTAATAACTATTGTGATTATCGCATTACGATATTAATTTCCTCAATTGTCGCAGAATTACTTTAAAATTTGGAGCTCATATCGTCAAGAAAGAATCTTGATCGAGAACGAGAACATAGTTTGGAGGGTTTATTATCGCTATTTATAACGCATGATCGTTAATTTGTCAGCCAGCGTGTATTTTGTAAACGAGTAAGAGAATATATTTATCATTTTATGTTACAAATTCTGCATTCTTTGTTGCTGTATTGCTCTGTTCGTTTTCCAAAATGTCCTCTGTTCCCGACCACGAACCGCCCTTTCTATCAGTACCATGGCTGAATAGTCGGTTATCCGCGTCGTCGATTCAGCGTTCGCGTTTCTGTAGAGATCTCTATATTTTGAGTAAAAATTTTGTGAATTTCGTGAAAGAGTAGCATGCTCTTTCATGCCTAGCGCTCAATTATCGGTATTAAGATTGAGAACATTTTAAATTCGTAAGATCAGTTGATGCATTGTCTACTTTGAGTATCAAAGTAGACAATGCATTATTATTATTATTATTTAAAAATTGAACATTAATCACAAATGCACGAAATTGCACTACGCTTGTGAGTGCGGTCGCAGAGTTAGGTAGGATGACAGCGCTATTATTTCTTCCGTTGTTGTGTGTAACGATATAACAAACGATTTCGATCTATTAATAATGGTCCTCTTTAGTGTCTTACATAAATGTTTTGTCTTATATAACTTATTTACGCCTTATTTACTAAATTCCTTATATTTATGGTTTGTCTTAAAAAAATAATTGTCAGGAATCTAAGCTGGCCGTTTACTACACATCCATTTATTTGGATGGTGCGTTGCAATACTAAGATTCCTCGATAACGTTTTTCTACTTATAATAATTGTAAAATATAATAATTGTGAGATATAATATTTATATCTTCTCATAGTATTATTGCGTACAGTGGTTTCCACCGAGGTTTAAACCGGATTAGAATGTAAGAACCAACCAACTACAGTTGAGTATTCCCCTGTTACAGTCGAATGAGGGGGAATGTTCGACTGTAGTTGATTGGTTCTTACATTCTCATCCATTTAAACCTTCGGTGGAAATTAG